CCTCTTATATCAATTAATTTTCCTTTTATGTGATGAGGGGGATATGTTGATTTGAATGTCGGCTTCTTTCGTTCAGTCATGCTTTGTACCTCCAGACATGAACGAAAAAATAACCGTATGCTCATGGGTCAGAATTTGGAATACTTTTTAAAAAAAGTATATTATTGTAAAAAGTGTGTTGCTGTAACCGCATATAACGAAGATAATTTATCCATATTTGGTCAAATGTAGTTTATAATCTATTGCAAGAAGTTGAATAATATATTCTTTCTTTTAACTACGGAGTTTCATACAATTGGTTATGATGAACATCTTTGCAGCTATGAAGTCTACAACAAAACTGACTTTTATTTATTTTTATTCTATTAAATTTAAAACTGAACTTAAAACTGAAATTTATTTGTTACGATGATCTTATTTCATTCGTGCCTACTTATTGTAGAACTGAAGCCAAAAGTGCATCTATACATATATTACTTTTCGCTATACATTATAATAATTTTTTCATATTGACTAGTATAATCAATAAGAATAAAGTACAGTAAGAATAAATAATAATCCTCTTAAAAAAAGAGAATTAAATAATCTGTGTATAAGAGGAAATTTATATTAAAATCAATAAGATTTGCATTATACGTATAACATATAATCTCTCGAACATTAAGAATAATATGTTTGTAATATTTTCCTTTTACTCTTAGAAGAATTCTCTTAAGGCCATATATAAGAATAAAATCCTCTAAAGTTTAAATGATTCCGTTTGTTCCGAAACTACTACTTTTTCTTGGGTGCACGCACAGAAATCAAAGGAAACGTCTCTGTTCGAGCGACTGTATGGGGCGGGAGGGAGTGTGAAAAATCGGAGAAATGATACTCTGTTATCGAATGCGCGGAGACATTCGTCTGACATTCATGCGGTTGAGATAAGAACGATTGACCGAATGGGCGCCTCCCTTTTTCACTCAGATGATATTAGAGGTTGCGACACTTCTCCTCGACTGAACTTCGTAGCGCGTTTCGCGTCCAACAGGACAATTTATTTTTTAGTATTTGTTTCTTAAGAGAGGACGCCTTTTCCTGTTGGACACTCATCGAGCGTGTACCGCAATTTTTGGCCGCCTGGTTTTGCGCCGAGTTTCGAAATATTTGAAGGCCAGACGTCCAGATTTTATCGTCAATGCTCAGCTGACCGGTTAATACCGCAAGTGGCCGAATCATTAGATATTCCTCGCGCATCGTGATGCATTCTTCACACACATAAGAAATATATTTCTACAGACTACATTTTCAGTTCTTTTCTCTTTCTTCCGTCTCTTCTCTTTTTGGAAAGTCTGTCTAGAATTTTCAATCTTTAAATCTAGCAATCCCAGTTTAAATACTTTTTCTTCGCGGGTTGCACTTTGGAATGCAGCAAATGTCCCCCGAGAACTTTGCTTTCGGGAATTTTTCAGAAACAACTTCTCTCACTGGACCATCGGATGCGCCCCGAAGTGCATCCAAAGCAAAAGTGTTCAAACCGTTTGGAAACTCGGAGAGTGCAACCGAGGTGCCGTCTAATCCCCAGACAACGGAAAATCGGCTACACCAGCCGAATATTTTTTTTCCGTGCGGTGCATACGCGCGTACGTGCGTGCGTCAGCTCCTCCATACTGAGATCTGGAGGCTCTCAAAGAACCCGCGCTGCTATCGACATGCTTTTTGGCACGTCGCTTCGCTGGGAAAGTCCGCCAACGGCTTCGCTGGCTGTGTGGATATGTAGATGCGTGTGCTATATGTGTGTGTGTGTGTATGTATGTATGTCTCCCACACGCGATATCCCGCAGACACATACGCGAGAAAGCTCGGCGACAAGGGGAGACGCGAATAAGAGAATGAAACGGAGATAGAAGAGGATCAAAGAGGATCCGCTGGAGGTGACGACGTTGTCTACCGGCGCCGGAAGCTTCGTGATCGAATCGCTAATTAGCACTCGCTTCCAGCCGGCGGACTCTTTGAGGAGGAGCAACTACTTCTCTGCTACCCCCGTAGCCGTCGTAGTCGTCGTCGTGGTCGTCGTCGTCGTCGTCGTCGTCGTCGTCGTCGTTAATGCATTCGGATCGAGTAAATCCATTTTAAGCTCGTTGCGCCCCGAAGCAGCGACTGCGAAGTTTGCGGCGAGCAAACCCGACGTCGGGCGCGATTAATCGTGTTTATTTGAAGATTTACGGCGTGACACACACACCGATTTCTGCCGATTAGGCCGGCGGTGGGTCGTCGTTCGGGGGAACCTTCCGGGCGCACCTTCCGGGCGGTTGAGACCTCGCGAGCAAAGTGCAGCGTCGGCGTCGAACGGGACGAGCGTGTACGTCGAGTGCCACGCGACTGTTAATTAATTCATCGTCGTGATAATTGCGCGGAGCCAATTATCACGACGTGCGCATTATACGTCTCGTGTGAATCCATCGAGAGACTCGCCGCTCGGAGGAAACGCGATTAGCTCGAGATATTGAACATCCTCTCCGAGTTGTTCCTTCCTTACCGAGTGAAAGGAAGATATGATATTTCAGAGTAATAAAATAACGCGATATCCTGAATCTTCCTCTGAATCAATTACGCCGATTCTCGACGAGGAATCTCGGAGTATAAGAATACGGAGGCCATTTTATTGCCTTTGAGATCGCAAACGGTCACTCACTGCGCTTCCGTTGGATCTTCGAGACGAACTTTTATTTCGGAATTGATCGATATTCCATCACCGCGACACCTTCCGCAACCGTCTTCAATCTCGGCGTTTCTCGGGACGTCGCGTTATTCGATCATCTCGGTCCGACATCGAGGATGGAGGAGAAACAAAAAGGGAAAGGCAAACAGTCGAATGTTCAATGAGACCGCATTAGGAAAAATGGCGACGTCGGCGTCTAATCGGATTGTCAGAGTGTTGCGATCGTTCCGCAAAGGGGGATTTTTTCGTGTACCCGCGGGTGCCATAAACATTAATCCGAATCCCGGCCGGTGTTCGCCCCCGGGATCGAACGAGTCGGCAGCGGAAAGTGATAAGACACAATATCTCACAATTCTCAGGGTCTTATGGGCTTTCACGTCTCGAGTACTAACAAATTATTACGGATGATGACGTCCGAGAATCTACAATCGGCCGAGGGAATGTCCCGGTCAGCCGGCGAACAATTAATGACGTATCCGTTTTCATTATGTAGCTAGCTGGCCGGCTCGGCTGCCTTTTAGCCGATCATTTGCGTCAATTTATATCGATTTAATGCGTGCGCGTTGTGATTAATATGTTTCACTCGTCGGGCATCGATAGTCCCGACGTTATAGCAACAATGGACGAACTAAATGAAATTAATCGCTCACGCTCGCTGGCGACTCGCGAGAAATTTATCGCGGTGTCTGGAAAACAAATTCGAAAAACAAAAAGAGAGAGAGAGAGAGAGAGAGAGAGAGAGAGAGAGAGAGAGAGAGAGAGAGAGGAAGAAAACAGCCGCGCAAAAACCGCATCGACATCGAATACGTTTCTGGCGGTTTCATCGAGCGGATGCCGGAAGCTTGATCGATAGCGAGCGAGCAGCGCCGCCAGTCGCTTTGTAGCCGCCGCCGAAATCCAACGAAGTGCGTGAAGCAGATGGGAATATATGAAAAAGCGTAGGAGAACTTGAGCAAATCGATTGCACTCGGGAATTATCGAGGACATGAGACTGCCACATGTTGAGATTCTCGACTGCGACTGGTCGGTTCGTTTGCTGCTCGTCAGCAGATGTCACGCCTGAAAATTTTACCGACGAAACAGCGACTCCTTTCCGTCAAATTCACGTCGTGCGCCGATTGCGCAAAATTACCAAACGCTTCGACGCAACAAAAGTATGCGTCGGACTAGTCATCGGCCAATATTCCGAAAGACGATAAAGACAAATTTCAAAAGTGACATCTCGAGCTGGTTGACGTAAAGATTTGCCCGAGACACGAAAGTTCGGCGGCAGCGCTTGCACACACCGAACGCGTGTTTGCTCCGCTCAGGAAACTTTGAAAGAGCATTGTTGTACCGCTGCAGAACTTCAGAATTTACAAGTTTAACAAATACACGGCAAGTTTGCTGAAAGATTTTTATACGTACACATTTCCATGGTAAATATGGTAGAACAAGGCAGCGCGCACACATTTATACAAGACCCACATGTACGAGAAACACAAAGAGCAGTTAACGTGAATGCGTCAGCGCTTATCCAACTCGACATTCGGACGATCGCTCCCCCCGCCCCCTTCCTTCACTTTTTCCACGGAACATTTCTCGTAGAACGTTTCTCGAGTTCGTCGTCCACTCTGGCACCCCCCGGGCGTCGCCTCCTACATCGCGACCCTCGCGTGCTCCCGGCTCTCGTTGTCCCGCTAAGCGGCGGTCAGCCGACGTCGAAGAGTCCGTCATCGCGCGAAAGGTGCGCGGAAGGCCCTCAGCGAGCGCGGCCGGTCGCTTAATTAAGCGACGGCCCCAACGCGCGCCCGAAGGGTGGAAAAAAAGATCAATAAAATCGCTAGTCTACGGGCGACCGCATTCATCCGCCACCCCATTTCTACGACATATTTTGCAACCACCCCCTGCGTCCCGCGGCCTTGGCTGCTTGCTCCGCACGCTCGGCGAGCCCCCCTTCGGCCCTCGCCCCGCCGTCGGCTCTTTACCAGCCTCACGTGCTCGTTTCGCTCCCTCCCCTAACGGAGCGCGGCCTTCCGTCCACCACACAGGGGTGGCGAACCGGGTGGCGCGCGCGCGCGCGTGTTCCCGGTACCCCGATCCACCACTAGATGGTGACGGAGGGCGAGAACGTGAGCGGGAAGGAGCGCGAACGCATGCGGTCGGACGAGGATGCGAGATTGTATGAGAGAGAGGGTCTGGCGGAGAGAGCCGCCGCCGCCGCCGCCGCCGCCGCTGCCGCGCGCGCGGGTAACTTGGGCTTCCCCTCCCGTCGGCTCGACCTTCTCGCCGACCGACGACCAACTGGAGTTTCTCGTCAGCCTGTCAGTTAGTGCCGCGGCGCCGTGACGGTACGGTGTTTAGTTGGTACGTGGTCGTCGTTCCTTCCGGCCGGTCGTGCGCGCGCGTCCGCTCGTGTGCGTCTCGTCGTCGCCCGATGATGATGATGATGATGATGACGACGACGATGACGATGATGACGACGACGACGACGATGACGACGACGACGACGACGACGACGACGACCGGCACACCACGGAGACCCACGGCGCGAGGAGACACGCGGCGCCTCGACTGCCAGTGACGCGACCGGACCTCGTGTGTGCGTCGCCAGCGTCCCCCCGCTCGGTTTTTTGCATTTTTCTAAATGGATACTCTGTTGTTAGCGCGACACGCGACCGCTAGTGGGACGTGCGCTTAAGGATTGTGCGTTAGGGAGCCGTCAGTTTGTCGTTGTGCTGGTTCCTCGTCAACCGCTGCGGCTGTACGCGAGTGAGATCTTTTGTAAATTTGTATCAAGTGCGCGCGGGAGAGTAAAGGGGAAGGGAAACACGGTGACACACGGGGAGGAGGCCCAGACGGCCCAGAGGCGGCGGGATCTACAAAGACCGGTTGTGATCGATGATTTCTTTGGTGCTGTTTTGTGTGTGCGCGTAAGCGTCGCCGATAGTCGGAGCACATCCGGGCGGATAACGCGAGATACACGGGATAACAAGGTGAGCACACATACCTCTTTCTCTCTCTCTCTCTCTCTCTCTCTCTCTCTCTCTCTCTCTCTCTCTCTCTCTCTCTCTCTCTCTCTCTCTCTCTCTCTCTCTCTCTCTCTCTCTTTCTCTCTCTGTCCTGTGTGTGTGTGTGTGTTTGTGTACATTTTTTCGTGCCGTCTCTTCTACGCCGTCTACTCTCATAATGCACCCGTTTAATTACGCGAACGCCGGTCCAGTGACAAACGCCAGCGAACGAACAGGCTGACCGACGGACTGACGCAGCTGTCGGACGCTCGCGCGAAAATTGTCAAAGGGAGCGCGCCGAAAACGCCATCGATACGCTTCAAGCCCGTCGTGCGTAATTCCGCGGCGATATCTGTAATTATCCGGGAAATTAGAAGATAAATCGCGTCGCCGGGACGGGAAAGAGAGAGAGAGAGAGAGAGAGAGAGAGAGAGAGAGAGAGAAGTTGAGTTTTAATTGCGCGCCGCGAGATTTACGCCCGTAATCGAGCGATTTCCACGGTCCTCTGTTTCCCGGTTAAACAACGGTGAACATCGTTGTTTGTGAAAAAGCTCGGTGAAGGTTCCGCTCCCACCTGGCGAGCCGTTCGTCATCGTCACCCTCGGCGTCGTAACGCCGTCGTGGCTGTCACCGGTCGGCGACGATGGCATCAGCGGGCCCGCGCAGTCGACGCTTCCCTCCTCGCAGAGAAGAAGACTCGGTCTTTCCGAGCGATCCAGTTTGCCCCGAAGTGGAGCTGGAGAACGAAAGAGACGGAGAGATGTATTCAAAGCGGTCGCTCCCTCGATGGGCCGTGATGGGACTCCCGGCGGCTGCGGGACGTCCCGTAGCGACCGGAATCCGACGCTCGTATCCAGCCCATTCTTTTCTAATCCGACTTGGAGACGCGTCGTCAGGCTGGATCTGATTTCCCCACTTGATCCGGTGTCGCTCATTGTCGCCCCGGGCCGGAGTCGAAGACTATCGCGATGAGGTCGCGAAAGACGAGGGAAAGACAGAGAGCGACGAACGAGACCGTCTTCTCTTTCGCCTTCGCGCGCCTCGGCTGGAGCAGTCGGGATAACATCGATTAATTCGGTAAGCTCCATTTCCGACGAAAAGCGAGCCGGAGAGGAGTAGGAGGAGGGATTCGAATGAAAGGAGCGAAAGAACGAATGAGGTGGATCAGCGCGAAGAGCAGCTCTCCTCGATGGGGTCTTCTCTCAGCGACGACAACGACGACGACTGTCGTCAGCACGCGAAGAGAGCGAGAAAATGAGGGGGCAAAGGGGAGCGTCGGCGGGACAAATGAAATTTCGTCGCGACAAATTGTCCGAGAGAGAGAGAGAGAGAGAGAGAGAGAGAGAGAGCGCGAGAGAAAGAGAGAGAGAGAGAGTACGAGGCGCCGCAGAAATCGCTCTCCGGCGATTAGCAAGAGATCTCCTAAGACTTGCTAATTTCCCCCCGACCCCCGCAACGGGGGGAGAGAGCAGCTTAGAGCGAAGGTGTAATATCGAGTCGGTGCGCGCGTCCATTAGCGGCACGATCTGTTTGCCGGGTGCCGCCTTAAATCCGCCGGATCGAGACGTGAACCGCCTCGCCAAGAGAGTTTTTTAATCCCACGCAGCCCCCTCGGGATACGACTCACGTTCGGCGGCTCCGAGGTAGCAAAATAACGCAACAGGCAATGACGGATGAAATAGAGCGGGGGAGAAAGTCGAACGGAATTGGAAATGGTCCAAGGCGGGCCCCGAGCGACCGATTCTCCAGCCCGTGATCTCTCCTGCTTCTCGCCCCCTCGGCCTGCTCCTGCTCCTGCGCTTCTCCCGGCCGTTTTCATTCAATTTCGACTCCTCCGATCTCGAATCGTGGCCAAGTTCGAGTAAATTAGCTGTACGAACGCTCGTTGCCAATTACACCTCGCCGAGGCGTTTGGACGCGCTCCGAGTGGGCCGTCCTCCTCGTGGCGGAAAAACGAGGGCGTCGGGGCCGCGTATCCTCCGTTGCCCAGAGTGTTACCGCGAATGCAGCTGGACGGATAAATAGACGAATAGATCGGTGTCGTCTCCTCCGTGGACTCGTTTCGCGGATATTCCCGTTCGCTTCTCCAGGAAACAAATCCGCAACGCGGGCGCGGCGCCGGATCCGGAAGCCCGATCGGTCATTTGTCCACGCGGCGGAAGCCTCAAACGTCAGACAGGCGGATTTATTGCACGCGTTCTGCGAAGAAGAAAATTGTCCTCAGGCGCACGAACGCCTGAGAACGCAAGGTCGAGTGAAGGTGGGAGAGGACGGCAGTTTTCAGGCGCAATTAACAGGATGGAATGCAGATGTCGCGTATGTGCTGCAAGTAGAGAAAAGCAGAGAGAGAGAGAGAGAGAGATAGAATCGCCTGACGCAGTTACCGTCCGCCGACGGCGGCGTCCGCGTCGGCAACGAGAACACGAGTCGAGGGGGCGCATAAACCGTCGTTATGAGAAATCGACGATCGTGCCTCATTCTGTCGAAGAGCGGAGCGAGCGCACTCGCCGTCGCCGCCGCCGTCGTCGCTCGATTTTAGTGGATTTAAGCGCAGCCGGGAAAGTAGGTTCTGAATATTGATGAAGGGATATGAATATATTCATAGGAACTAACAGTTTATTTCTGCAGTCAGATAGTCGGTTCGAATCGGCTCGCATTGATCACTCTTCGACTTCGTGTCCCGCTCGCTGCGTCCGCCCGCTCGTCGTGGACCAGCCGATCGCTCTCGGCAGCCTGTCGACTAAATATTCGTGAATCCGAGTCCTCGTCGTCGGAGTCACGTACTTCCTCGACAGCGGCTCCCTCATCGTCGTCGTCGATTCCTTCCTCCTCGTCACATTTCGCGACGCGTGTGTCCTCGCCCTCCTCCTGCAATCTTTCGCCCCCGCCTCCCCGAGTGATATCTTCATCATGAGATGACGGGACTTTGCGACGACCGTCTCTCCCTTCTTTCTTCCTCTCTCTCTCTCTCTCTCTCTCTCTCTCTCTCTCTCTCTTTCTCTTTGTCCTTCTCGACGACTTCCTAGGTGAGATTCGACGAACCGGCCGACGCCGTAAATTATCCGTCCCATTGCGTCATTAATCTGTGCGCGAGGCGACGCTTTATCGGTCATACTTCATCGAATCGCGCTTTATCGCTCGTACTCTTTCTCGAATCCACCTCGTGCGACCGAGATGGGAACGCTGGCAGCGGATAGAGTGTCGTCGCCGTCGTCGTCGTTGTCGTTGCTATTGCGCCGGCGAGGGCCGAAGGATGCTGAACGATAATCAATTGATATCGGCGCGATCAATTTTCCGACCGCGCGAGCGGCGCAGGCAGGCACGTACAATGACGTAGCCGAAATAATCGAAATGCTAATTATTCGTTTGCATAATTAACGTGAGTGTGGCGAGGCGGCCCCTCTCCCTCTCTCCCTCTCCTTCTCTCCCTCCCTCTCCGCCGGCTCCGTGCACCGTGAGCGGTCCCACATGCCATTGGAGATTAACGGTAGCGTGCGGCGTCCTGTTAATGTTCATTTTGAATATTAACTCCGCGGAAATGAATGGCGAGGGCGAGGGCGCTGCGCGATCGCCGAATCATTATACGAACGAATTTAACGCGGTCGAGCGAGCCGCGCGCATATGGAGAGTCCGGCCCGCTATGAATTTCCAACGCTATCATTTTCAGATTCCGTCCGTTGTCGCTGCGAGTGTCGTGCGAAATCGCGATGACACACAGTCATCATTATCATCATCATCATCATCATCATCATCATCATCATCATCATTATCGTCGTCGCAGTCGTAAATCTCCGGCGTTGCTCGCGCGCGTATCTATTTAATTGAAACTTCCTACCTCCCTCCGCCACTCTCCGCCTCGCGATGCGTCACATGCCGTTTATTGTGTCGTGAGTGACAATCGTGCGTGAATTTCATGACGCGAACGCACCGATCGTCGGAAAGACGGACAGGGGTGGCGGTAAATGAGAGCAATTGTCGCGGAAAGCGCAAAAGCGGGAGCGACGGTAGAATGTCTCTCTCTCTCTCTCTCTCTCTCTCTCTCTCTCTCTCTCTCTCTCTCTCTCTCTCTCTTGGGGAAGAAAGAAAAACTTCGGGTGAACGGAACTGCCTCTGGTCAAAGTTGTCGCTAATCGGCACGGTTGTTCTGCGATTTTCTTTCTTTTTCTTCTTTTCACCAAGTCGTCGTTTTAACCAGCATAACCAACATTTCCGTGACTTTGACTCTTCTGGTTGTCACCGATCGAGATAATATTTTCGCGATTTTTCTTCAAGTTGTTATTACCAATCGAAGTAGTATTTTCTTCATTTTATTTCCTCAAGTTGTTCAGCCATAATCTCGAAATAATATTTCTATAATTTTCTTTTCAGGTAAGTTCAGTTAGTTGAACGCAGTTGAACAACTGTTCGAGGTCAAGTGAGGTGCGTCGGTGCGGATGTTACGATCGACTTCGCGCCCCGTCAGAGTACGTTTATCACGACGCTGCCATCCGCGCAGGTGAGTCCCCGGTAACGCGCTCGGTTCGCGGTCAATTTCGAGAATCGGGAGACAGAGACGAAGCGACATAAATAACGAGCGGTCGTCACCGAAAGTGCGAGGGTGAAATCAACGCGCGAGAGGAGGCCCCTCCCGGGAAAATAAATTTCAACGACCGAGGTTGTAGCGGTGATCAAAATAACAGTTACACAATTTCCTTTTTCCAAGTAAACTGAGTTAGGCGGTTGAAAAAAAAATGATAAAAAAAAACGAAAAAAAAAAACAGAAAAAGAGATCCGAGATGAAACGGGAGCCGGGGTGGATTTTACGATCGGATTTTGCAGCCGTCAGTGTACATTTATCACCACATCGTCGTCCGCAACACGCGGCAGTCCCCCGGTGGAAACGCGCCCTCGTTCACGGTCAATTTCGAAAAATCCCAGCCCCTCCGTTTTATAAAAGTGCTGCTGGACGTGTTTCGGACGTGGCTCCTCTCGAGCTCGTCTCCCAG